TTTTTTTTTTTTTTTAAAAACACACACACCCCTGCTTTAAATAGCAAAGGCAAAACCAGTTCAGAGTCAAGACATATAAATGGGAACTACAGCATTTAGTTTCCATTCCATTATTAAAGTTTAAGATTCCTTGGCTAATTAGCATATTGTAACCTTAATCCTGCAACACTATCTAGGAGGCCACGTCCAGAACCACTATGGCACGTAACACGGTCACTGGCAATACCCACAGGTTCACTCCCCTCTCCCATTACCCCAGGATGTTTTGCTGGAGGAATGAATTAATCAGAGGACTCCCCAAACTGCAACAGTTTGGCTGAGCACCCGATGGAGAAAGCACTCCCCACGCACAAAGCCAGCTCTGCTCGTGCCTGCCTTCATCCCCTTCGCTCTCCGCAGAAGGGAGCCCCTTCAAAGGGGAAGGGATACAAAACCTGTCCTATACAACACGCTTTACAAGGGTCTGTGCTGTTCCCAGTTTGGCTTTATGGGGGATATTCCACCCCGTGCCCACCCAGCCCTGCTTCCCCGGGGGGACACCGATGGCCCTGGCTCCAAGCCCACCCTTACCAACCAAAGGGCAGCAACTGCTCCTTGGGAATGCTGAAGGGACCCTGCATTCCCCAGGACTGCTCTCGCCCCACAGAAACATGCAATTTTCACATAGTTATTTATAAATCAGGTATTTGAATGAATAGTTACTCGATTAGCAGACTCAGGAGGTTCCAGGAACACCCCCTCCTGGCATAGTCGCTACTGCCTACATAGTGTGTTCCTTTATGATCCTAACGAGCATCTACCCATCACCTCCACACAGGAGCCCGGTGCTGAGCATCACCAGCTACACCGGGTCTTCGGCACAGCCCCCCGCAAACACCCGCATCATTTCTAAATGCTAAAATGCTGTAAGCATTCACCATCATTTGTGCTTCCTCCGAATAAAAAGAGAAGGAGCTAACGGAAAGGGTGGCAAAACGATATGGATCGTAACTGAGCTGATCTGCTACAAGTTATTCTCCTCGGAGAGAGAGAGAGGCGGCTGGGTTTCCCTTCCAGCATCAGTGATGGGAACTGCCAGTTACTTCCCCGCTACCCAACTTCTCCTTATCCCTCTAAAACCCGAAACTCCTCCTCTGCAGCTCTGCCCCGGTGCAGGGGGAAGGTGTGAACCCCGGGACCCAGAGGGGACAGAGGGAGGCTGGCAGGGGTCAGGCGGGACCCTGGGGACAGACCCCTCCGCTTCGCCGTTAAAAAAAAAAGAAAAAGAGAAAAAAAGATAGGGATGACTGACTGCTTCAAACCAGCGCCGGGGAAGTTTCTGGCATCACCGTTTCACCGCGCAGAAAAGTATCGGGGATGAGGCAAAAAGAGGAACTCGCGGGGAATTCAATCGGAATGGGAACACCCTGCCAGTTTTCCCATTTATTCCCCAAACACACACACACCCCGGGCAAAAAAAAAGGCTCCGGCACCTGTTCCCCACCCGCGGGTGATGCGGAGGGCTCTCTCAGGTTATCCCCCTCCCTACACCACCGGCTCCTCAGCGCTCCTCTTCCCCGGGGAACTTCCCCCGGGCCGAGCGGCGGGACCAGGCGGCCGAGACTGCCTCCTCCTCCTCCTCCTCCTCCTCCGCCGCCCCCGGGGCTCACCCCGTCCCGCACCGCTCCGGGCAGAAATGCTGAATCACCAAGCCGCGGGACGGGAGCCGGGGGAGTGGGGGGGCTCCCCCCTCTGCCCCCCCCCCCAGCCCCCCCCCCCCCCCCAACACGGGTCCGGCCGTTTCGCCGCCGGCGGGCACTTACTTGAAGGTGAGGACGCAGAGGGGCCGGTAGGACTTGTGGCTGGTGTTCTCCGCCATCCGCTTGCCCCAGAAGTCGTTGGCGAAGACGGCGGCCACCGGGGTACCCGCCCGCACGTCGGGGTTGTTCACGATGGCCCAGACGTCGTCGTGGACGAACTCGCCCCGCAGGGAGTTACCGTAGCAGAGGGCGCACAGCCCCG